CACAAACCAGCAGATCCCTGCCTACCCATAGATCTGTGAGAATAAAGAACGATTGTTTAAGTCTAGGGGTTTGGGATGGCTTTTCCCTGGCACGTTTGGGGTGATAGATAACCTGCCCCAATAAATGTAAAATGCTTGACACCGTGCCTCTTATGACAGTTCCCTGTCACCAGTAGCTGTGGTATGTTCCCATTCAGCCTGTGGTAATTTGAGAGGAAGAAAATGGACCTCATGAATTCGTTGACTTGGGCAAGATGGTTGGCGGGCAGAATATTCTAAGCATGAGCGTCTTTGAGCTGCACGTGGTAAGGTGCTACGCGTAAGGGATGAGTTCAGAAAAGAACTGGCAGTGTACAGAATTTAGTCTCTCCAGCCACTAGGGCCTCAAATGAGGATTTGGCCTGTGGCAAAGACCAAATCCAGGGCGCTGCCCATGGAACTCAGCCCCAGAGTAAATTAAGGATGTGGCGGTAGTTGCCCTTTCCTGAAAAGAATAAAGGGATTAGAATATCCTAGGAGTTCCCGGGTGGTGCAAACAGTTAACGCGCTCAGCTGCTAACGGAAACCTTGGAGGCTTAATTCCACCCAGAGGCACTTGGAAGAAAGACCCGGTGATCTACTTTTGAAAAATCAGCACTAAAAAAACCCTAGAGAGCACAGTTGTTCTCTGACACACATAGGGTTGCCATGAGTCAGAGTCGACCCCATGGTGATTGTTTGTAGAATAGTCTTTCCGCAGGACAACAGGACGCCTGGAGACCGTCGGGCGTGGCGGGTACTAAGTGCCTGATGTGTAGGTGACCAGTGTAAACAGAGGCATATCGCCAAAGGAATTGCCAGTATGGCTTCTGGAGCGTGAAGAGGCTGGTCTGGGCTAAAAGGGATTGAGACTGTTGGAAACATAAAAGGACCCTGGTCTCCTAACTTTCTGCCCGGCAGGGTTTCCGATGCTGTGGACCAATGACATGTTAACCACAGCTCTCCCAGCCCTGCTCCACCACCAAAGGGAGGGTGTGTATATGTGTGGTGGGGGCAGATAACCTGTCTTTTCAGTTCCTAAGTCTCTGAATCAAGGAGAGCCACATCCAGAACGGATGACAACCACATAATCCTGGACTCTGAGCTGAAGTCTGATCGAATGAGACTAGGGTTCTTGGGGAGGACAGTGTACGTGCGGGAGAGGCATGAATAACTGTCTCTGCAGTGTGGACTCCGGTAGACCTTGCCATTGCTCAGCACGGTTCACTTCCTTCCTGTCACTTCCTCGGAAGGAGGATACTTCCCCACATCACTGATGATGAGCCTGGCCATGTGACTTTCGTTGGCCAGTAGAATAAGGCAAAAGTGATGTCAACTGGTTCCGAGCAGCTGCCTAAAGACGCTTCACCTGTTTCTGCCTGACCTCTGGGCTTCAGCCATCGCCGTAACACAATGCCCGGGAGGAGGTGAGCAGCACGTGGAGCAGAGCCCAAGCCTCCCCAGCCAACCCACCTAGATTAGCTGACCCCCAGCTGAGCCGCAGACACAGCAGTGCACCCAGCTGACCCAGACATCGCACGGCCGAGCCGGGCCCGGATCAGTCAACCTTCAGTTGGTCCAGATTTGTAAGCTAAATAAAATGTTTATTGCTCCACGGTGCTGAGGTCTAGTGTATTTTGTTATACGCACGATGGTGGCCACAGTTGAACTGCTGTGATGGATGTTAATACTTGGTTGGGAGATTCACTCACCTAGTCTCAGGGAGCGCTGAGCGACTTTGCCATCCCTGCCTCCCACCAAAAAAACAAACCAACAAAAAACACAGGGCAGGACTGCTTCAGTGGACTTAACCCGTGGAGAAGCCCAAAGGCGTGAGCCCTGAAGGCAGGCTGTGAGAGCGGGAGGAAAGGGCTGTAGGCGTTCTCAGTTCCCCGAGTGAGCGAGGGGCCAGCACTGGGACTCTGGCTAGTCTCTCCATCTGGAAGCGTGAGGCCAGGAAGCAGGTGGTCCCCCGACACACACAGGAGACTCTGGGACGCCCTGCATAAAGGAACCCTGCTCATTTCCTTTTCCTTGGGGGATTCCCATACCCATCTGACCACAATACCCCACTTCAGCCCACTTGGTTGCATCCACGGAGTTAGTTTTCAGCCAAATGCCTGCCAAGCAACGGTAAGGTCCCATGTGGCTAATGGCTTCCAGACTGCCCAACAAACTGTGTGCCAGGTTTTCCTCATGCAGAGGGTGGTGCTAAGGGGCCCAGCCTGGGCGTTCAGAAGCCCAGCGTGCAGGCTCTATACAGAAGGGGCCCCGTCCTGTGCCCTCCCCTCCCTGTTCTTCTGTCCCAGTTCCAGGGCCTGATCCCTGCCTACCCATAGATCTGTTAGAATACACAACAATTGTTTGAAGTCTATGAGTTTGGGATGGGTTTTCCCTTTTCAACGCCAATTTTTCAAAAGCACATCCCCAGGTCTTTCTTCCAAGGTGCCTCTGGGTGGAGTTGACCCTCCGACCTTTTCCTCCTGAGCGCGTTAACTGTTTGCACCACCCATGGACTCCTAGGATATTCTAATTCCTATTCTTTTCAGGAAAGGGCATTACAGTCACATTCTTGATTTACTGAGGCCTGTTCCGCTGACAGTGCCCTGGGTTTGGTCTTCGCCGGGCCACCGGGCCCCAGTCACTGGTGGCCCTGAGGTTTGCCGCAGAGGCTGGGTGTCTGCTAACGGCTGTTGCAGGCTCACTGGACCTGGGGCCTTCTAGCCACTTGCCAGCATAGCACCTACGCTCAGAGCCCCTGCTTCTGGCTGCTCACCAAGGCCCCTTGACGCCAGGCCGGCTGCTGGGCACGCTCGCGGCCCCACTGCTTGCCCTAACCCCTCTTCCCGCTTGCACCAGAAGGCAAGGCCTGCCTTGCCCTGGGGACCTTCTCATGCCCAACCCCACCCTCACTCCGATGAGCTCCACCAGACTGCCCATCAAAGAGGGATCTGGGACATGGGGGCTTGGGCTGCCACCCGGAGCTAGCAGGCCTGGTTCTCAACAAGGCAACTTAGATGTTGAAGCCAGTTCAGTGGAAGAACGGCCAGATCTTCCCTGCAGAATCCTCCCCTGCCCCCAAAGACAACAAATAGCCAGTAAATGCCTGAGCGTTCAACATTTTGACACTGTTAAGAAAAAATACAGCCCAATTTCCGTTTAAACGCACTGAATTTACTGCCCAGGTTCTCATTAACTACTGTCGACGAAGAAGCAGGCAGACGAAATAAATTATGAAAAAATTACTTTTTTTAATGTACAAAAAAGACTTATTTACAAATTGAGCATGTCATCTCAATTCATAGCATGTAGAAAAAGCTAAAAATGTTTTTCGGAGATATAAATTTGGCTGGGTCGTTCGCCTACAGAATTCTCAGGAATGATGTCTTTTGTACAGAATATATACAGGTTGCGAATGGCTAGCAAAATTCCATGTCCGGATGTCAATGAACACCCCCGCGAGCCCCAGGCCCCTGGAGAAGTCCAAGGGCTGCACACACAGAGCCGGCCTTGGCTTTGGCCCACAACAGAGTCTGATGCTCTGGGACGTGGGGGGCAAGTGAGAAGGTGTTGGCCCTGTCCAGGGAGTCCTTGGTTGAAGCCAGGGTCACAGTCAGAATCAAGCCCATCCAGGCGCAGCTGGCTTAGCAAGGTTGCCCCAAATTCCACACGGAAAGGTTTGGGGGAGTGTATGCGTACTGGGTGGGGTATTCATCAATGCACCCCTTGAAGCCGAGATCCAAATTCCATTTCCGGGTGGGACTTGGTCATACTGAACAGGAAAATCCAGTGACGGTCCTTCAGAGTCCTGAGAACGAACCCCACTCACTCCCCCCACCCCCCCACAAAACACCATGCACGTCAACATTCTCAGCCAAATGGACGGGGGGGCGGGAACAGAAGGCAGGGAGTCCACAAGGTTCCGGGGACTGCACTCTATGGCTTGGTGCAGACTATCGGGAGCCTGGGCAGAGGGGCTGCGATCAGCCCCGGAGTTCTCCACGGTCAAGTGGGCAGATAGTGCATTGGAGAACAGAGGGTTTGGTAAACATGCGACTTCCTCTTCCTGCTGGGCCCTGGATGCACCCTCGCCCCTTCGCCAGGCACCACTGGTGGTCAGCTCACCTTTGTCCATCCCGGGCCCACGGCAGCTCCAGCGGCCCCGAGGTATTTAGAAACGAGCGTTCTTTTCAGGAAGGGCTACATTCTACACGCATGAACACTGTAAACACGGGCTGGGGAAGCCAGGGTTGCTTCTGGGCTTGCCCCGAGAGTATTACAGTTTTTCCCTTTGCTTTTTCTGGTAATACTTTATTCTGATACTTTACTCATTTGGATACACTTGGACAGTCTGTGGGTCCCAAACGCGGCTTTATGGGATAGAGGCACCAGCTCTACCAACCCTGGAATCAGGATGTGCTTCTGAATCACTCAGGTAGAATCCATTTTGTGGCAAGAGATGTTAGAGGCCTCAAGAATTAAGCTTCCTAGAAGAATTCTGGTGGGCCAGGAATTCCTTGCCCTTGCGGGTACTGGAACGAGAAGCTAATCTTCCTGCAGCAGGATATCCCGTATGGCTATCAGATTCAAAGTCTGTGTGGCTGCCCTCTCCTCTTTCCCTGTGTACTTGGAAAGCCCTTGGCCAGTATAATCCTTCATTAGCCCAATGACGGAGGCGAAGGAGCCAGAATAGAGTAAAAACACCAAAGGCCGGAAAGCACTGTGTAAATGAGTCGTTCATTTCTACCTTCGTTTCTTATTGAGGCTTTTTTCAGCGTTCTGAAAAAATAACTCAGAGAGACCAGAAAGGCTGCATGTGAGACTTCCCTTAAAGCAGCTGCGGGCCGAGCCAGCCATTAGCAAAAATCCCCCGGACCTATTTAATACTTTTTTGGAAAAACACGAAAGAGACAACCACCCCCCTGCAGCCCGGCTCTGGGAAGTGGCTCCTCCGGGTCCGCTCGGCAGCAGGGGCCTGGGGCTTAGGTCATCATGTTCAGGAATTTGCTCTCCTCGGCCAGGCTGGTGAGCATGGAGCTCATGTCTCCCACAGCCATGTTGCTGACGCCCGTGGGGATGGCGGGCAGGGTCAGGGAGTTTCGGGGCGTGGTGAGGCGGGAGGAGTTCTGGGAGAGGTTGTGGAGGAGGCTGGGACTCAGGGTGCCCGAGAGCAAGCTCGAGTGATCTCCGTCATCCATGATGGCATCAAAATCAACCTGAGGGGCTTCCAGGAGCTGGGAGTCCACAGTGCTGGACACCTGGTTGACCCCCGGCGAGGGCTGAGGCTTCATGCTGTCTGCACAGGCTTGGGTCTGCATGGCCGGGCAGTCCGCGTGGCCCTGCATGCCTCCGTTCTGCTCGTACATGTGGATCTGGCCATAGTAGTAGAGCAGGCTGTGGTCCTGGGCCCCGCCTGTGTCCTGTGGGGGCGGCTGTGGGGGCAGCGGCACCATAGTTCCCATCGCTCCCTTGGGCGTGGCCTCTGGTGCCCCCTGGCTGGTCGCCCCAACAGTCATGGCATGGCCAGTAGTCCTGGCATAGGCCAGCTGCTGGCCAGCACGCACCCCACGATGGCGGCTGGCAAGGCTGGGCTCAGCGGGGGGCTGGGGCTGCACCAGGCCAAAGCTTGACGCTGCCGCGCCCATCATGCCCTGCTGGGGATCCACGAAGCCAGGCTGGTGAGAAGGTAGAAGGCTGGGGCCCTGGTGGTAGCCCTCCTGGCTCACGGGGGCTGCCAGGTGGTAGCTCTGCTGTGGGTAGTTCTGGGATGGGAAAGCTGGCGGCACCGTGGCCAGGGTGGAACTGGGGACCCCAAGTTCCCTGTGGCTGTTGCCTATCATGGTGGGGTCAGGAGCCACCTCCATTTGATGAGGGAGCCCCAGGTGGCCTGGCCTGGCCGCCATGTTGCTGCAGGATGGGGAGAACTGGCTCAGGGCCCCTCCCATGGCGCTGGGGCCCAGCTGGGAGTGGGCTTGGCCGTAGCTGGAGTGGGGGCTCACTGCAGTGGTCAAGCGGGGACACTGGCCACCTGGGGCTGGCTGTCCAAGCTGCTGCATGTAGTTCACCCTGGGCCCAGAGTGGGGCTGCAGGTGGGGCTGCACGCTGTCCAGCCCCCCTGGGCTAGTCTGCAGCCCTTGCTGACTGAAGCCCGAGTACTGGCCAAGGGCCTGTTTCTGTGGCACCACCACCAGATTGCCCTGTGGGAAGGGTGGAGGCTTCATCTGGCTGGCCAGGGCATCCATGGTGCCCGAGCTCACCTCGTTCCATTGCACAGGCATGTTGCTTTTGTTCTGGCTCGCAGGTGCCCGGTAGCCCAGCTGGCAGTCTCCCAGCACGGGGGCCGAAGGACCCACGTTGGAGTCCGCTGCCACCATCTTATGCTGGCTGTGCAGCCCCGGGCTGGGCAGCTTGGGGTTCCCGGTGAAGCCCGAGCTCTCGGCGGGATAGATCTGCGGGCCACTCTCCTCCAGGGCGCCGCTGGCACGGGCCTTCAGATACTGAACCACATCGTCAGGCAACACGAGGTCGTCCTCCGGCCCCGCGCCCTCCGCCTCGGCCGCCAGCGCCTCCATCACCACGTTCTCGCTGATGCTGGGAGGGCGTGGCGAGTAGACGCCGCGGCCCACCAGGTAGGACTGCGGGCCCAAGGCGCGGCGCTCGGGCGGCAGCGCGGCCGGGCTCACGTTGCTGGCGCTGTGGAAGCGCTGC